GGTGCACGAGTTTCCAACCTCCTTCCTCCCGCCTAGAATTCCAACTCTTCCTCCCCTGGGAGACCATGACGCGTGCACGTCAACTCCATGATGCCAATTGACTGCCCATTATACAAACCAATATAGACTCACTTCAGAACATTCCTTTGTAGCGGTAATTGACAAATAATTGTGACTCACTTTAATTACACTCGAGGATGTGGATAATTTTTTAAACCCGCGCAATCATCAAATCTTTATGGTCTTGAGTGCAATAGTATATGATATGACGAGATCATTTTGTTCGTTATGTCAAACTTTCCGAGTCACAAAAATTAGTATACTCGTATCTTCTTTTCTGTACACTGTAGTCGATTGTTAGCACAAAGTAGAACCCACAACTCTCTCCATAGGTATCTAGAGAATTACAACGAGAGTTCTCACGTGGTCTAACTACTAAAAATTGAAGTTATAAATTTTTTTAGAAGGGCCCTCTCGTACGGGGGCCTGGGGGTATCTCCTCCGCTGCTGGGGGGATTTCCTACAGCCAGGTGGGGGGTGACATTTTTGTATCGTGAAATGGGGAGTCGAACAGTGGTCCTTCACTTACCCCCCACTTAGTCAGGACGTCAGTGAGACAAGAGTCCTTGTTTGAGTTATAAGAGACTTAGGTAAGGTATTTACGTACGTCTCAGAACTGGAGACTCTTTTGGAATAGTTTCATTTGAGTTAGGAAACTTTGTGAAGGACGGAGGTATTCTTTATTACTCACCACAGGAATCTTTCGAGAGTCAACACGTTATGCGACGTACAGGAATGGGTGACTACCACACGACACACACACACACACACAGCACGAACACACAACACACGACACCACACACACACACCACTACTCGAAAAGACGAAAAAAAATACTAATAGAAATTGAAACTATTTAGTATCCTGGCGTACAGCTGACACGTTTGTAAACTCGAAGTAAATTTGTGTAATATTACAATAGATTCTGTTTTCTTTCTGGGGGTGTCTGTATGTTTCACAAAAACCCTAAGTTCGAATTGAAGTAGAAATAGTTTATAGTAGTAAAATATTCCACAATCCCGCGTTCAATCATGATATCGATTGTTGTCTTACATCACCTCTGTTTGTGATATAAAGACAGACTTGACTTTTCCATACCTTCTATTTTTTCGAATTGTACCATTATGAGGTAATTTCATATAATTTACATGTGAAGTCAGTCTCCTGAGTCTAGTACATGAACGTCATTTTCATCTTCATGAGTCCTATAAATGACTCATTTTCATCTTCATGAGTCTGGAACATGAACCTCCTTTTACCCTCCAAAGAGGGTAAAAGGGGGAATTTGACACCCCCCCAAAAAGAGGTCTTCAAAAAAGGAACATGCTACACTCAAAATTCCTGTCTCCCACAGCAAAAGAGATGACTATAAGACGTGTTTGACACGACGACATAAACGACATTTCACAGGAAATGACATTCCATTACAAATACATGTCGTGAAACCGAGCTGGTTGTAAAAAAAAAATTTACACAATATATTTATTTTGAACTAAAACTAAAACTTATTATTTTCCATCTTCATGTGTCTAGAACATGAACATCATTTTCATCTTCATGAGTCTGGAACATGACTCTTTTCATTTTTGATGAGTCTAGAACATGAACCATTTTACAATAAAACAATTAGTGGTTTCAATTCCCCCGTCTTTGCTTGTCCTGTCTCACCAATTCAATTCCATTGTTGGACTAACTAGAATTAATTAATTATAACTTAAAGAGAATATACACTAATCGAGTTCACCATTTACCTACAGATAGTTGGACTTCCGAGTGACCAAGTGAAAGGTAGAGTCTAGTGTACCTCCTTCTCAACCTTTGAGACACGTGACGGGACGCCCCTCCTTCTCAACCTTTGAGGCACGTGACGTCCCGACTCCCGTGTTGTGTACTTACCAAGTCACAAATGTAACATATTATATCTTATATTATTAATATATATATAATTCTGATGTCTGTGGTTATTTAAACATTCCCTGATAAACGTTATTTCAGCGTCAATAAATGAGTTTTAATCCCAGTGTGTTTAGTGTGCAACATCACATGTCATTTCACCTTCAATTCACGGTTTTCAAAACGTTAGCCACACGTTAATGCTAACCGAAAATGAAGAATCTTCAGAATAAAAGTGTGAAGTTAATAGTTAGTGTGAATTTCCGGTCTTTTCAGAATAAAACTGCTTTATATTAAAACCCTTTATTTAATTTAAATTACGTCATATCAACATTGATTTTAATTTCTTACAGTAGGAGAGGTTTTGGGGTTTAGGTTTTGTAGGGAGGAAGGAAGATTAGGATTAGGTAAAAAGGTAGGGAGTGGTTAGGGTTAGGATGGGGGGAAGGGAAGGGTTAGATTGAAGGGAGGGAAGAGAACTGCTACCCCGGAAACAGGATGCAACGCGTCATCAGTTTAGCTCGTCACGTGCCTCAAAGGTTGAGAAGGAGGGGCCGTCCCGTCACGTGTCTCAAAGGTTGAGAAGGAGGGGCGATCTTGAGGTTGAGAAGGAGGGGCGTGTGGTACTGCGCACTGCAGTGAGGGGATTCTCAGACAGAGGGACAATGACTAGTGACACCGTTACACAGCAAACCGCGCAGGCAAAGAAATGGCACAATTAGCAGGCCTATGCTGCCCTCTATTGGCCAAAGGCCGCAACAGAATAGCGATTGAAGTGACACGTTATTACATAAAGTAATTAACTATTATAAACAATTACGCATGAACAGCATAAAGGAATTTACACAATGAAGTCTCTATGACTACAATATAAAGAACACTGCATACATTGGCCCCTGCATCAACTTAGCGTTACATTGTTCATTATGTGAGGTGAGGGAGCGTTCCTGGTGCGTCCGCACCTCGTGCTGTCCCGTAGTCAGCATGGCAAAGTTAGCGGCTATTGCTAACTGCAGTTACGGTTCATCTATAGGCATGGGCGCGGGAAGGGGGGTGCTGAGGGCGCTGCATTACCCCCTAGCGGCAGGCAGGGGGTGCGGAGCTCCCCTGTCTGAATTATTATTTGACGGTTATTGCTGCTCCCGCTATGCATAATCTGTGTAATATGTAGCCAATAAATTCTACATTGTTGGTAAAATGATATTTTGGCATGCCCCGAATGTTTTTTCTGTAGCCCCGGACAATTCTACCTCAATAATCCATCCATCCATCCATCTTCTCCCGCTTATCCGTGGTCGGGTCGCGGAGGTAGCAGTTCCAGCAGAGAGCCCCAAACTTTCTTTTCCCTGGCCACATCAACCAGAGCTGGTTGATGTGGCCAGGGAAAAGAAAGTTTGGGGCTCTCTGCTGGAACTGCTACCTCCGCGACCCGACCACGGATAAGCGGGAGAAGATGGATGGATGGANGAGGGAGACACGAGCGTCACTAGTAGTCGGCCGTCGTCTCCCTCCTACGTCCACTACTCCTAGGCGCGTCTCCCTGCTGGCGATAGCTTTGTTCTTCTTCTTTCTTCTGCGTCAGGAGGTCGTCGTTGGTAGTCCGGTTCGTGAGGTGGGACTCGGCGTATGGCGGCGTTTGGGTTGGGGTAGGCAGCGATGCTGTGGCTGCAGGAGAAGGGGCCATCCCAGCGATGCCTAAACTTACATAAAATTGATTACGACAGTTTTAATAGCGTAATTGCCGCCATTAAGTAGAAAACTTAATTAACGCAATTTTATAAATTGCGTAAATTGCGTACACGTCTTACCGGGCGGGGTATGTAGGGTGGTCACGGTCGCGGCCCCATCCGATGTCGGTATGGTTCTTTACCGAATCGGGGTGGTACTTTTTACTACAATTTCATTCGTTTTATTTCAGACGGTTGAGGCGCGGCTCATTTAGCGTGTCTGTCGTCAATCATTCTAACTAAAGTCATCGGCGAACAGACCTTTATGGCTTCTGATCTTTGCCAAAACTTTGAAAACAGTGCCACACTAGCAGAAGGAGTTGTCTTGTAGGAACTATTCAGAAGACCGGTTAGTCTTAGTTCTATTGCCGCACCCACAACGAACCGTCCCTCAGGGCTGCCTCTTATGAATGACATCATGTAGAGATATATGTAGCTATGTTGTAATGCACAACTATCTTTAGTGTGCATTACTTTATTCTGGGGTGCCAACTACTACTAACTATCCATACTATCCGACAGAAAGTAAAACTGTGTGTGCTTGTTACAATATTACTCATTGGTGATGCATACAATTTACCTATATGGCGCGAAGAAAGTAAATAGAAGAGCTAGTGTGTTTGTTATATGTATTTCTTTACCCATATAAAGACCTGTATCAAGCCTTACCCTAATTAGACCTCAATTGTAAAAATAGCAAACTGTCGGGATTAAAGTCGATGTAAAAATTGATAAAATACGTCTTCTGTTTTTCTTTGGACTCAAAACACGTAGTTTACTTAACTTCCCAGTAGTATTCTGTACATAACACATATATAAACATATGACATTTATAGACTCTGGGTAATTATATACCAGATTTGATTATCGTATTGTCCTCTAGAAATCTTGTATATAAAATTTCATGGTACAAACCGTATAAAGAGGCGGGAGGAGTCTCGATGTAGGTCTCAAAGGCCCTCTCCGTCCACGTCCACGTCGGCCACCCAGCGGACCTGGTCCCTCTGGGGTGGTGCCACCACCTGTATCCCATGCTGGCCGCATTGTGCGCCGGGTGGTTGCGAGTGTCGCTAGTCCTGGTGAGTCCTAGGACTCTCGTGGGGAGGATGTTGGGAGTTTCTCTGACTTGTGTGGGGAGGTGGTCCCGCTCTATTTTCTGAGGCTGGGGTGGCCCGCAGTAGGCTGCAGGGCTCAGCCCTTCTGGGGGTGACCCAAATTACGTTTTGTCGAGTCGGGTGTGTAATGTGTGGGAGGCGTGTGGCGCAGTGGACTAGTGCGTTGGTGTTGGGAACAGGTTCAAACCCCACTGCAGTCAGCATGTCGTTGTGTATTGAGTATGTAAGTCTAACAAGTGACATGTCATGATGTAATGCTTTGGTTTGCTTCACCAAAGTTCAAGTAATAGCTGAGGGTGGAGATAGAGCAGCTTCTCCATCATGATGTGCATTTATAAGTTCAAGTTTCAAGACTTTATTGTCATTAGCACAGCAGCTACAGTAGGTCACAGGCTCCTCCAACAGTGCAACATATATAAAGGACAAATAAAACAGATACAATAAGTGCAAGAGAATGTTCGGAGGTGTGCGAGTAAATACAAAGAAAAAAGTCCATTCCAATGAAACCTGGTAAAAAGGTTGCATGCTGATACCCTCCCTTCGTCTACAACAGTCTGCAGCCTGGTTTAAAGGTATAAACAGTTCTCCTCACCCTTGGTGTGGGAGTACCCCTCGGCGGTGACCTTCCACTGCACCATGACCCCCAGCAGGGTGAGGGCGGGCCACACCCCCAGCACCACCCACGTCACCCAGCACACAGGTTTCCCCGGTGCTGCCTTCAGGCGCTCGTACATGTACAGCACGAGGGCGAAGAGCTCCACGAAGTAGTCCACCGCCACCGTGATGACGGCCGCCCCGAACATGGCGGTGGAGAACGTGGTGAAGAGGCGCTGCCATTGGAGCGCGAGCACGGCGAAGAGCATCCCGAGCCCCAACAGGACGCCCAGAGGGACCCAAACGGAGCGAGGGGGGCTGTCGGAGAGCTCCTCCATGCCCACCAGTGTAGCCACGGCCACCAGGAGACCCAGCAGAAGCCCCACCATGAAGAGCCCCACGCTGCGCACCAGCATGGTGACCAGGCCGCACAGCGTGCCGATGCCCAGCCCGATGCCCACCGACGCCTCCATGCTCAGCTGCGTGTCCAGGACGCGCTCCTTGTAGCAGAGCATGAAAATCACCACGGAGCCGAACATCAGGCCGGTCAGGAACATCACCGCCTTGAAGCAGCGGTACCCTGGAGCAAAAGAGAGGAGCATGTTATTCAGCACAGTGGATACCAACATCAGAATCAGAATACCTGCATCAGTCCCACAGAGGGGACATTTACATTGTTACAGCAGAAAGGAGCCAAGGACAGCTTCATGTTAAAGAAGCATGCATTTAAGAAATGACACAATTTACAAAATACACATCCTGTAACAGCTCTGAAGATAGCAGCCAGGTGTATAGTGCACAGTTATTACGGCATATACATGTCCAACGTATAGCACTCTCATACCTAATTATGTCCAGATGTTTAAATGATGCTTTAAATGTTGACTTTACGAATGAAACAAGAGCAAAGGAAACCTTCCTGGACTCAAAGGGTTGCTTTTTGAATAAGGATACATGCAGACACAACATTCATTTAAATGTTGCTTTGCATGTTGACGTTATGAATGAATCCGGGTCAAAGGAAATGTTGGGCAGGAGCATTTCCTGGACTCAAAATGAGTTTGGTTGAGTTGCTTTTTGAATAACGATATGTTGAGACACAACATTCACAAGAAACCCCCAAAGCAGTGTCTTTCTAAACATTGGAAATGCCTTTAGTGTCATGGCAAAGTCATGTTAGACCTAACAACGAACTCCTTTGTCAGAGAGTAAATGATTTGGACTCAGGTGATGCTGCTTTCAGGGACACCTGATGGAAGGATCTCATTGGAGCAGAACTCACCAAAGAAGCAGTAGATGATGCCGAAGAGGCAGCACATGGAGCAGATCACCGAGGGAACAACATTGTAGCGTCCGCCAAAGTCCTCACAGCCGTCCAGTCGCTCCGGACTGAGCTCCGGGTCGGGGGGCAGCATCTCCAGGGTGGAGGTCATGATGAACCAGAGGAGGAGGAGGAGGAGGAGGAAGAGGAGGAGAGGAGATCAGGTGGGAGGCGAGGGACAAGGGAGGCTAGGGAGCAGCACACAGCCGAGTGCTTTCACCTGAGGACAGAAGAAGAAAGACAGAGATGTTTTTAATTGGATAGTAATGATTATTTATGAAAGTATTTTTTAATTCTTTATTTTGAATTTTTCTTTTAGTTACAATAAAGCAAAGACATACACAATATACAGTAAGTAGGTACCCGAAACCTTTACATGGCGCACAAGAGAAAGGAAAAAATACAATTCCTGAGAATAGTCTAAAGCTGCCAGTCGACAGCATCGCAGACAAAAGCAAAAAGGCCAAGACTCAACCAGAGGTTTAAACAAAACATATTGATTAAAACCTGTATGACATTACCATGGTGATGTGTGTATCTGATTTAAACACACGTGTCTTCAATACGTTTCTACACACACACACACACACACACACACACACACACACACACACACACACACACACACACACACACACACACACACACACCGGGAGATTGGACGAGGGCAATCTCTCTTTTGATCAGGGGGCGTTTGAGGGGAATAGGAAAAGTTCACTTCAGGCCAACGGAGCAAACATGTCTCTAATGGATCTCATCATTCAGAGTCCTCTCCCAGGACTGTTTCATCTCAAATAAAGGATCTTATTTACAGGCCTGCATGTTTGTGGTGCACCAGAGTGTAGAAGTGCTTTGTATTACTGTGCAGAATCACATCCACATATAGAACAAGACTCAGCACTTCAAATTAAACACAAATATTAATGCATTTTTAGAGTTTTCAGAGTTAATATAACCTTTAGAAATGCTGCAAAATGTACATCTGGACTTTTTTTTTCTTAACCTCAGAGAAACTACTGCGATGCTGAAACACAGACACATAGCCTCAGGATGTTTTTATATAAATACAGTCACTGCTAGAGAAGTGCAGATAAAGTTAAATTAAACAAACTCAGTCACCTCCTTCCCACGCCTCCTCCCTCCTGACTCCTCCCCCCTTTGGCTATTTCTGTTCTCTCCATCTCGGGGTGAGTTCAGTCCGACTGCCGAGGGTTTCTGGGTCACAGATGCTTATGCAACCAGTCTGAGGAACTTTACTCCCATCTGCATGAGCTCCAGCATCCTTCATCAACTTTCCTCTCTCCTCTTTGGTTTCCTTTACCTATTACATCCTCACTTTTCATCCCCCGGTCTCTAGGTAATACCATGAAGGGGTGGATGAGGAATCATTGTGTTTCGTACTGAGGTTTAAGCTGGCCAGGGAAGTTCGACAATGCATGAAAAAGGCAGACAAATAAAGAGCTTTTTGAACATTAAAGCACGGAAACAACACAAACATCACAACACGACCCCTTTAAACAGCCTTCTGATATCCATGGTTACAGTCGAAGAATGACCGAGACGCTTCTAGTATCCCTGGTGAATTGACTCCACTGTGCATGCATATACCCACTTATTGGGGTGTTACAAACATGTGGAAACATATTTTATACTTTGCCTAATACTGTTCTACAATAACACCCACATGCACATTGATGGCATTTGTGATTCTTGCATCAGGGAGGACAACGTGCACGAGAGAAAACTAGTGCACGCTCAGTCAATTAAAACATCAACTAAGTGTGTGTGTGTGTGTGTGTGTGTGTGTGTGTGTGAGGCAGAAGCATTTGCATTTGAATAGAGCCATAATATACACACTCAGTAGCAAGGGGATAATGAATAGAGCAATGTTTTCAGAGCAAACTCAGACCACACACACACACACACACACACACACACACACACACACACACACACACACACACACACACACACACACACACACACACACACACACACACACACACACACACACACACACACACACACACTTTCATCCAGACATGACATATTAATAATCATCTTTCTGCAGAGGATTAGCAGGTCTCTGCTGAGCGACCCTGTGTGTGTTTTGTTGTGCGCGCGCGCGTGCGTGCGTGCGTGTGCGTGTGTGTGTGTGTGTGTGTGTCTGTGTAAGCATTAATCTGTTCAGTACCGCAGATCAAAAACATGCATTTGTTATGTTTGCAGAAGGATCATCCTCTTGAAAAAATGTTTGCAATAAACAACAGAGGAGTTTCTTCTTCTGTTGTTTCGAATAGGCAGCAACAAGAAAAACATTGTGGTCCTGCACCGACCCCCCCCCCACACACCACATCCTGGCTCTCCTGGTCTGTTGCCGCGACACACGGAGGGATGACTGACAGTATGGCCACTGGTCCGAAGCTGTCCAATAGGAAAGCAGAACGAGGCTAACCCATAGCAGACAGCATCGAGAAAGGCCAATCAGTGCAACGTCCTATTCCTCTGATCAAGTGTGTGTGTGCGTGCCGTGCGTGCGTGAGTGCAGAGTGTGTGTCCCTAGTTAATCTATGTTCAGACTGCATAATGAAGAGATGTCATCTAAGTCGAAAACTGCACACTAGGGTACCACATGCATCTTTATCCTTATTCTGCCTGGAATAAAAATTACTTTGTACTGATTTATAAAATAAAGAAACAAATATAGTATTTTAATGATGCAACTATTTAGATATCCTCGCTTGTTTCAAGCACACTAACCCCTCTCACCCTCGTCATATATATCGACTAAAAACCACTGCAACCAGTTCCTCCGGTTTAAAGGAAATGCAGCTTGGTTTCATATCAGCCTCAGACACACTGACCCAGATGTGCCGCCTACTGTCCTGATCCTGACCATCATCAGGATGAACTCGGTGGCGGCGATAAAAAGGAGACAAACCCTTCCCATAAATAGAGAAACAGCGTGCTGACTGTTACACACTGGGTGCACAGACGGCAGGAGGACACAGCGAGTGACACGACAGGCAGGAGGACACACCGAGTGGAAGAGACACAAGGCAGGAGGACACCACCGAGTGCCACAGACAGGCAGGGTGGACACGAACCACAGAGTGCACAGACAGGCAGGANGACTGGCAGCTTTAGCGTATTCTCAGGAATTGTCAATGTAATACCCAGCTTCCTCTCATTCCTCTTGTACGCCATGTAAAGGTTTCGGGTACCTACTTACTGTATATTGTGTATGTCTTTGCTTTATAATAACTAAAAGAAAAATTCAAAATAAAGTATTAAAAAAATAAAAAACACCATATTTCCGGGTTTTTTTAATTTATTTTTTTTAAATGCATTTCCTTGAAGTGCTCTCTGGTTTTGCCTAAGCATAAAATAAATGTTTTAATCTAATTCAAAATATATGTTTGAAAATGTTTGTTGTACTATATTTAGAATACTGTAGAAGACTCAAATACAGTATTATAAGAAAACAGGGGTTTCCTGGAAAACAAGGATCATGTTCAACAGGCAAGCAGGGAGGAAAGCAAAGAGACACTAAAAAGAAAAATAAGCTCCAAAGACTAGATTTTCTGTTTATGTCCAACAACAATAACATGAAACTCTTTTCCTCAATGCCACCATAACAATGAATGAGTCACTGTTCATGCTCTCTGCTCCCTTCACACACAGTACACATCAGGAAATGATTACTTGGAAATAAGGGCCATTTATTTGCCGTGTCAACAAATGCAAGGAAACATATAGGCCAGACAGCACATTGCATTGTGGGAACTTGGCAGCAGTTCCCTTAGCTATCAGCATTCAGTATAGCTGAATAAACATGATAACAAATGTTAGGAATCAGGAAACCGCAGAAAATAGACTCATTTTGTCAGTCTTCTTTTTAAAAAGGGTAATATATAAACAAAAATGAAGCTATTCAAAACTATGCTATGGTGGTGTTAGGCTATTAACAAATATTTTCATCTCACCAATACCTCAACATTCAGAAAAAACATCAAAACTAACTCCAAGTCAAATATTCATATAATATATACACAATAATCTGTATTCTCACCCAGACTCTGTGTGACACCCCAGTAACTACTGTGGAGTCTTTCCGCTTTCTGAGCACCATCATCGCCCAGGACCTCATCAAAAAAGCACAGCAGAGGATGTTCTTCCTGAGGCAGCTGAAGAAATTAAACCTGCCAAAGACAATGATGGTGAACACCTCCATCATCGAGTCCATCCTCACCACTTCCTAGGGCTGCTCAATTAATCGTATTGTAATCGCAATTACGATTATGGCTTGCAACGATTACGAAAACAACGTAATCTAAATGAAACGATTATTTTTTTATTATTATTATTTATTTTTTTCAAATTATTTTAATTTTATTTTTGGTTTTTCAGTTGAAGTATACTTAAAGTTCAGGGTAATCAACTGTTAAAAACATACTGTTCAAACTTTTCTTTTAGTAAGTAAATGGATAATCGTTTTTAATAATCGTGATATCAATTATTGACCCAAATAATCGAGATTATGATTTTTGCCATAATCGAGCAGCCCTGCCACCTCCATCACCATCTGGTACGCTGCAGCCACAGCCAAGGAAAAGGGCAGGCTGCAGTGGGTCATCCGCTCTGCAGAGAAGGTAATCGGCTGCAATCTGCCATCCCTCCACGCCTCCAGAACCCTGAGGCGGGCAGGGAAGATAGTGGCCGACCCCTCCCACCCTGGACACAAACTGTTCACCCCCCTCCCCTCTTGATGGGCTGCGCTCCATCAGGACCAACACCTCTCGCCACCTGAACTGTTTCTTCCCCTCGGCTACTGGCCTCTTAAACAAGGCCCGGCCCCCCCACTGACACTTTACCTCAGCCACAACGTAGTCTCTATATGCATTACATCAATGCACACAATGTTCAAATACTGCTTACTGCACATATTATTATTTCATATTCTATAATTCATTCTATAATTGCAATTTATTTCGCTGTAAATTACTGCTCTATTTTATTGCTATTTAACTATATTTTATTACAGTGTCCTTAAAGATTTTTTGTTTTATATGGAGATTCTTTGTTTTATATTTTATGTATGCACCACGACATCAAGTCAAATTCCTCGTATGTGTGAACCTACCTCGCAATAAACCCTGATTTTCTGATTCTGATTCTGATCAAAGAGGCGGGTGTATTTTTAGCTTGCCTTGCACG